AAAAATGCACGGAGATAAATTTAGATATAATTTTACACTAATTACTTCAAACAAACGAATGTTACAAATGTCGATTAGAAATACGTAAATAAATATTTGAAATGCAAGGTTGAAATATTTCATTTTATACTTGAGTTTATTCGAAAAGAAATATTTTATTTGCCTAAATTTTCTTTCCTATTTAAAGTAGAATTTTATTTGAACAGTATATGCAGCATCTACTATTTAAAATGGTGTTTCAAATATTTTTTCTCTAAATTCTACTGTCAGCTGTGCTACTCGATCGTTTAAAACTGGAACGAACCACGTCATTGTTTCCAATAAGCACAATGGTGCAAGTGACTTTGTATTTTTCTACAGTTTGTTCACCTTCACCACATTCAATGAACGCTCACTTCTCTGCTCGCCGATGCATGAAACTTTCCTTACCGCTTGTTCGAACCAATTCAATGTCAAAAGACAAGAACAGAGAATAAGACAGTAGCACTTCTGTATCGCGACGTTCTAATTTTCACGAGAAGTGTACGTTTTTTGATCCTCATTTCTTAACTCGCGGAACTTTCACATTCTTATGTAAAAGAGCATCCGGCTACAGTTATTGTCTTTTTCTCGTATAAGTAATAGATTTGTGTGTCTATTTGGTTCTGAAAATGAAAGAAAGTGATCTTAAATGCGTGTATTAATTCTGAGCAAAAATCAAATAATTGGTTGATGTTAAATTCTTATATAAATAAATCAGGGATGAACATTTACTTGAGATTTGTCACGTTTGTTGAGTAATTGAGAAATTAATTTTGGAAAATTTTATATCTATGTTAAAGCATTCTGCAGGTATAAAGTACTTTTGTTGTTAGGTGTTGATAATAAATGTTCTTCACATTGTTGTTGAGATAAATTTATGCTGACAGAACGTGTCCTGTGTTGTTAAATGTACCTACTTATTTTATGTTTAATTCTTCTTCAGACTATAAGATTCAGACTATAATTATTCCTCAGACTGTAAGATTCACACTGTCATTTTTCTTTAGATTACAAGATTCAGACTGTAAGATTTAGACTATAATTCTTCAGACTATAAGATACAGGCTATAACTTTTCTTCAGACTATAAGACCCAAACTATAATTCTTCTCTAGATTACAAAATTCAAACTATAATTCTTCTTTAGACTATATGATTCAGATTATAATTTTTCAGACTATAATATTTCTTCAGACTATAAGATTCACACTATACATTTTCTTCAGACTATAAGATTCACACTATAATTCTTCTTCAGATGACAAGATTAAGACTATAATTCTTTTTCAGATTACAAAATTTAAACTGTAATTCTTCTTCAGACTGTAATATTCAGACTATAATTCTTCCTCAGACTATTATCACAGATATCAATAAAATTGTTGCAATTAAAAGAATCTATAACCCGTAGAAAGGTAATTTTCTTTCTGTCAACTAGTCTATCGGTCATTTGTTTAAACTATTATTGCGGAAGGAGTTCTCAAATATTCTCGTCTCCACGTTTCCAAAGAAACACTCTGACGCACGTACATAGGTACATATATACGTAAGAAAGTCATCGATTAATTCAATTAACCACATGCTAGGTAATTTTCTAACTATGTAGACGGTTTATAGATTTCACTTTGTCCTAGCGATCGACTCACCACGCCTGCGATTAATAGCGATCAATCAGCCTGCAATTAAGCTTCGTCCAGACACAGATTTTCATTCCTTGTTTTCTCGCTATCGACTTATATGGCTGTTACGCGGAAGTTTCGTCGCCGCTTCCTAATCCAGTCCGGACAATTTCCTTCTCTACGTAAGTACTTGCCGTTAGAGCTTGGCGTCTAACAAGAATTCAACGTAAAAAACAAATTTCTTCTACGGTTTTCAACTGTCCTGTGTTAGATTTATAAGCTAGATAAATATAACAAAAATTAAATCTAAAGCCTTCCCTAAGAAGTATGTGTTTCTTTTGCGTGCGTTCCGTTTGGCATTGCTACATCTGTTTAGTTTTAAACCTAAGTGTTTATGATACGCGGCAAAAGGCCCTTCGGTCCCAAGCGGGGTCGCGGGCAATTTTCGGGCGTTGCGTTGGAACGTTCTCAGTCCGTGTACAGTGCTCTTGCTAGCAACTTGGAACAGCGAACCTTCCTTGTGTATAATAAAGATTATAGTTTAAAATAAGAAATTGTGAGAAAATCCGTCCCGAAGACGGTGAAGCGAGCATCTCGAAGCCAGGCCCAGCGCGCTTGGTGGGGGTGACTCCGCCCCTTTGGGACTTTCCCTGGGCCTGTTCGCGTAGGGGTGGACAGGGATCGGCAGGACGACGCGTCCTCGCTCTTCACGAGACTCTCGAAGCATACTTTTGCGAACGACGCTCAGATAACGCGGACATAGACTTTTAATAACATATACTATTGTAAAAACGTAGACACGTTTAATTAATTTTACGCCCACCCTACTCCGAGTTAGAGTACTTTCTGACAATATATTTCATTATTTCATAATTCATAAAACCCATAATCCAATAGTCTGTCCCTTCTGTTAACTCAGATACTGCTGTTTCAAGCCAGATGAGTGGATTTACTTCGAAGAAAGTACTTAACGTTCGATACGCAGAATTCGTACTGTGATGCCCGGTTTGCTCCAATTCCTCGAAACTAGGAGCAGATATTGGGGTAACGCTGAATTAAAACACTTAAGGATCGTCGTTGCGTAGAAACGGAACTTTATTTAACGGAGACTTTGACGTTACGTGACTGGTTACGTCGAATGGTAAACCAGAGAATGAACGCGGAAATGGAGAAAATAGGGCTATTTAAGGGTTCTGGGAAGATGGACTTCGGGTTGCGACTAAAAAATATTTGGAAAATATTTGGGGGTGTAACAGTACATACACTATCGGCGAAAAATTTGGAATCACCTGCCAATTTACATCAATATTGAATCCGCTACTAATTCTTCATTGACTTGAAATTGATGTTGTGGAGATCAATAGCACTTTACCTCATTTCAATTGATTTGAATGATAGAAAATTCGTTAAAAATTATTACAAATGCTAACTTTTTTTTTTTTTGAGAATTCTGGTGCAACTTGCAATGCATAGTGATTCCAAACATTTGGCCGGTAGTGTACGTAATACGACAAAAATTTGTCAAATTTCAAGAGTAACAGTGTTATACGAATTTGTGTATCGGTATTCGAATATTTTCACGTTATCAGGTGAATAGAAAATAAATGAAGTCGTTGCACGTGAAATGAAACTCAAATGAAATTCATAAATGAAACTTTAAACTTGAAAATTAATTTAAAAAAAGCTACAGTAGATTCGACACATTTCTGACGACGAATTCTAAGCGAATGCAGCCTGTTGTTATAAAAATATGAATTTTTGCAACAAATTCCTCAAATGCATTCTTAATCGTTGCCTCGTTGTTGTGTATCTGGTTTGTTAGAAATTGATCTGAATGCTTGGATCAACGTTACGTTGTCCATTCGCTAGCTGCGTTTCTATCTCAAATGCTGTATTGGGTAATATTTCGTGGAAGAAAATCACACGAATTTGATTAAATCCATTTTCTACTTTCTTCCGCTTTACCATTGTTACACCGACAGGATCTTCCTTGCTGTTGTTCGGTTCTGCTGCAATTTCTGGTGCTGTTATAAGGTAAATGACCCCACAAGAATAGTTACTTTTTAGTAAAATATAAGGATATTTACGCGAGAAAATATTAGAAGTAGAAAAATATAGCGTTCCATTTAAAGAAATTAACTTGACTTTGATGTCTCATTCACTACTCCACCTGTAGAAAAATTATTTATACCATGTAAATAATCAGGTTCAATTCCTTGTGAGATATTGATACAATATTATTAATTATTAAATGAATATGTATAAAAGATATTGTAGATATTAATATCGTCATATATTTTTAACTTCAATCCCTCTTCTGTAAATTTTTCTCTCTATATATATATATCTAGCATTTTAATTAAGGAATTAATTAATTTTATTATTAAGGGATACTGTTTTTGAATCTATTTTACAAATTTTTACGTAATTAAATTTCAACGAAAAGAGGAAATCATAGTTGCATTTGTAAAAGTAGAATTTCGCTAAAAGCACCAGTTTTTTTTATCCTGGTGTTACATAAAAATAACTATTTAGTGAACAAATGTAGGAAGTTAATAAAGTGATTTATATGTTTTCATTCGTTTGAAATGTTAAGTTTTACATAATGATGTCAAGCTTTAGATGCACACGAGTTGAATAAGCGCCTTTCTTAATGTAAGATATATCTAGAATTACATAAACAATGTTTAGGCACGTATGTAACACAATGAGAGTGTAAATAATTTATTGCTATCGCTGTTGGTTAATGGTTGAATAGAAAACTTCCATACTTTTACTTCAATCCAAAGCAAAAAGAAACTTCGACTTTTCCTTCAATCTAAGTGAATTTGTTGTAAATTATAGTGAAATATAAAAGTGGCACGTGTTGAAAATTAGAATTGCAAGAATTGCATTAGAATTATTTACTAAAAATTAAACTAACTCACAAATTTAGACCAAAGACTAACTAACTTACAAATTTCGACAGAAATTAAATTAATTCATAAACAAATTTAAGAAAAAATTAAATTTTTCTTCTGCAAAGAGCAGTCCTATGTTGCAGAAGTTTTATTGAATTATATTTACTTTCCTTTATCGTTATTATAAAGCTCATTTTAATACATTATTCTAAATTGTGGAGCCGTCAAGTTAAGCATTGTTTATGTCACTCTCTAAAAGATAACCCTAACGATCAGCAAACCTTGCAATTATACCTTTCAACTTATAATCAATCCCCAACAAAATCACGCGACAACTTGACGCGATTCGACTGGACTCATCGTGAGGGTAATACGGATGTATCCAGGATATTCGAATTCAAATCACGCGAATATCAGGATACTCGAGTCTGAATTAAGTAGCTATTCGAATACTCGGATACTCAAGATTTGGATATCCGTAAATCCGGATACTAGGGTCTAAACTGAGTGCTAAATGAGTACTCGGATACTCAAGATTTAGATATCCATAAATCCGGATACTCGGGTCTAAATTGAGTACTACACGAGTACTAGGATACTCAAGACTCGGATATCCGTAAACACTCGGGTCTAAATTGAGTACTAAATGAGTATTTGGATACTTAAGATTCGGATATCCGTAAATCCGGATACTAGGGTCTAAACTGAGTGCTAAATGAGTACTCGGATACTCAAGATTTAGATATCCATAAATCCGGATACTCGGGTCTAAATTGAGTACTACACGAGTACTAGGATACTCAAGACTCGGATATCCGTAAACACTCGGGTCTAAATTGAGTACTAAATGAGTATTTGGATACTTAAGATTCGGATATCCGTAAATCCGGATACTAGGGTCTAAACTGAGTGCTAAATGAGTACTCGGATACTCAAGATTTAGATATCCATAAATCCGGATACTCGGGTCTAAATTGAGTACTACACGAGTACTAGGATACTCAAGACTCGGATATCCATAAACACTCGGGTCTAAACTGAGTAGCTACTCAAATACTCGGATACTCAAGACTCGGATATCCGTAAAAACTCGGGTCTAAATTGAGTACTAAATGAGTATTTGGATACTCAAGATTCGGATATCCGTAAATCCGGATACTAGGGTCTAAACTGAGTGCTAAATGAGTACTCGGATACTCAAGATTTGGATATCCATAAATCCGGATACTCGGGATATTAGGATACTCAAGACTCGGATATCCGTAAACACTCGGGTCTAAATTGAGTAGCTATTCAAATACTCGGATACTCAATAATCGGGTATCCGTAAATACTCGGGTCTAATGCTTATGAACCATAGTATATGACGGTAGTAGGCATATATATATTTTTTCTTTTTCTTTTTAACGTAAAATCAGGTATCGTACGCGCTAAATATCCGTATCCCGAGAGAACCGATCTCCGTCTAAGGGCCATATTCTCGGTGCACAACGAACGCTACATTCGATAGCATTCACAAACGACCACAAACGATAATGGCTCGACAGCGGCCAGCTAGATGCAAGGTTACATATTTTCTTCCCTGGCTAGGAGGCATAAGTCGCGCACGAACACCGGTGATTCAGTGTCAGTGGGTCAACGGAAACTGGAGAAATCTTTCTCCGCGACTATACGCACGTGCCTCTCGTTCAAGGAGCTCACGTTTTACGATCCTTCCGTTCATTCTAGGTCGAAAAAATCAACGTCACAAAGGCACTCTAGGGGTACGTATCAATGATTTACGCGTTTCTCAATATCCACTTTAATCTTACTTTCCTCCCTATCGTTCTTGTTCATTTTTTCCTGCTGTTTCTTCCTTTTTCTCTCTTCTTGCTTCCACTTGATCTTATTGGAGCTGTACTGTTACTTTCACGTTCCCCGGACGATAGGAAGTGAACGTGCCTGCTGACCGATCGCTGATTTTACCATCCCGTTTAATTTAGAAAGGGAATTTTTTTTTAGAAACGATGCCTTGCAGCGATCTGTTCCTACGGTGTTTCGGTTTAATTGTTCTTTTTTCTAGGTTGTAAACGATATCGTTCAGAAGAAACGAAGTAGATCGAGACGATAGATGACACCATTCGGATGCTTCAGTTATGTACTTTCGATTATTTAGCGTATTTTCGATGTTCCTTTCTTCGTTTTCGTGATTAATTTCGCTGGAATGAATTTTGTGGTAGATTCATTCTCGTGAGTTTGTAAGGTGAAAGTAACGTTAAATTTTATTTCATATTTGACAGAATGTAAAATTGAGAAAGTATAGTGATAATAACATAAAAATGCACATCTCGCTATTCGATTAAAAAAATATATATTTTTAGGAATTGTTTAGGGGTTGCTTTAAAAATGATACCTATAAACTGTTACAATCATTCAATCTATTGATCCATCCACAGACTACGGTAAATAAATTGAAATTATAAAGAAATTCAAATTTACCTTATACAAAACTAAAAATGAAAATTTTGAAAAATGTTAGACTAAACATTTAATATATTTTATACTCCACAAAACTGTGCAATGAAATTACTATAAATATCTTGTTTAAATAAAAAAATATTCTCCACTTCCTGTTATACAAAATTTTGATTTCTCATCAGGTCCAAAAATATACTATTCAATTTTCATTCTAACATTTTTCTTGTATCTTCTACACTCTCCAAGATACACAAAGGAAACACACGTTAACATTTAAGGGTTAGCAAGAAGGAAAGAAAATTGCCCAACACTTCCTATCCTTCCTTTAAAAACCTGCAAAGTTTCCAAACAATCAGAATTTTCAAGTCACCGAAGTTCCCTTTCGAGCAAATTCTCAGCTCGCCTGTCTACCGTTCGAAATTAGCAAACACTCGAATCACCTTCTGCCGCGAAACACCATTAGGCCACGACATCAACTCGCGAGACCTAATAAAGAATTAAAGCGTTAAGAAATCTCTGGTTCGAGCACGATTGCGCACGGGAAACGTCGATTGCACGACGGTTTTGCGCCGGTTTCATTGTTCCGGCACCGTTTACACAATGCACCACAGTCCCCGCGACCTTGTTGCTTCTTTCCTCGGGATCGTTGGGAGAAGGTGCGCTTCGATTCTGAAAACGTGGCCGGGGAAAAGAAGGGCGACCCGGTGAATGAGCGTATAGCCGTCGGCGCGGGGGGTCATCGGGCGGATAAAATCGTCGTCGACGCCGTTGAGGAAGTGTCTGCTGGTGAAAGTGCTTCTCAGACATTCGTCGAGAGCGGTCCGACACGTTTGCCCATGAGAAAAGTGGCTCCGTGCCGGACAACACGGACGTGCCTTTTCACGTCGCGATACGAAGGTCGCCACGATTACGACAGTCCGTTTCGAGATGAATTTCGACAAAATTCCCGTGAATAGCCAACTATAGTTCGATTTGGAATCTATAGCAAACGATACTTTCCTAGAAATGTCTGACGATAAGGAAAAGTATGCCGCGGTGTTTGTCTTTTTGTCTGGTAGAAGATAGGTGAAAGAAAATTACAGAGTTCCGTTTGAAAAAATTTAGGCGACCTTGGTAAGTTTGAAAAAGAACTGCTCTAGAGGAGTAACTGCAGAAAGGACTGCTCTAAATTTAAAAAAGGAAGAAAAAGAAGGAGAGATTGTAGGGTTACATTTGAAAAATTAAAGATGACCTTGATAACTTTGAAAACATCCAATCAGACTATAGGTTTACGGACGTTTCTTATATACACTTGTCATTTTCTGTGAACCTTTCCTATCCCACGTAAATTATAAATATTAAATCGCATTTTTTTTTTTGCCAAATTCTATTGCGTATATGTATTTAGCGTATTCTGGTTGTACGATTGTGAATAATTTAATTATTTAAGCCCTTGAAATTGTTAAATATTTATGTTAGTCAAAACTTGTGCTGAAAAATTAATATTCGTTGCCTTCGAAATTGATATTTAGTATTTGCTAAAAGATTGACGAAATTTTTAAAATTTTAACAGAAATAAATCACACATATATTGAGAAATATATTTCAACTGTAACACATTTCATTAGAAGTTTGTTCTTTCAAACTATTTCACTGCTTAGACATTTGTGAGAGGCCAGTAGACCTCTTTTTCTGTAAATCTTAGCTTTAAAAAATGTCTCGATTTGTTATTTACCAGATGCTAAAAAAAATAATGTCGCTTCTCAGTCGCCACTCGAGTGCAAAGGGTTAATATAATAATAATAACAATATTACGTAGACTGTATTATTTGTGCAACAGTCAACTGTTTATCTTTATTTGTATTATTTACACGCACCTTGTATATCATATTATTTATTGCACCGTGTATACTTTGCTATGCATTTTATTCGGGAACTTTTAATTGGCATTACAAACATTTCTGGCAAGCAAATAAAAGTGAAAGCGAGGGACCCCAAAAAATTAAGCATATTCGTTAATTTTTATATAACTGAATGTCACGCGTGAATTTTTTTCGCGCTGTTTTACGGCCTCCAAAAATATCGAATTTTTATTATGCAATAGGATAAATGAATGAAGCCGTTTACCATGGGGAACGGGTTAAATATATTTTTTCACGTTTTCTTCGAACTACTTTCCATAGAACTGAACCTTTTATTTTCCCCTGCAAATTTTCAAACCTCTCCACTTTTATGTTACTACGGAAATCAGTTTAAAAGTACGTTTCGTGTCATCTGTTTGAACTGTTCGTTTCATAAAGAAATGACGTTTCGAAATGAAAAAATAATAATCACTTCTATATCTTCGGTCGGTACTTTTTTAAATTAAGTGCAAGTATTTTTTTAAATACCTACAGTCAGTAAAAATGAATATTTTGGTCGGTATAAATTAAATTAGGTTAGGATATTCTATTATACCGACCGTCTACTTAAAATACCGATGCTTTATTTTAAATACCGACCATTTATTTAAAATTTTTCAAAACACCGACCCAATAAAACAGCATAATAATACGCATACTCTGGACAATAAGAATAGACTACGTCCGTTGTTCGCAATGCGCTAAATTAAAATGTAAACAAACTCTAATTACGAATGTACACACTTGCGATTAATAAATTAGCAATACATTAAAATAATTGACACGATCGCTTATTTGATTTCTCTTTCCACCTAATAACTCCACGCTTAGGCATACATAGACGATCGTAGATATCGAACGAGCTAGTCTCATTGAACAATAGATCGGATTATCGACCTATTCGATCAGATAATTTCAGCGCGTGTAATTTTTCCATCTCGATCGATTGTGCTCTCGCTTCGTACACAGCAGCGACATTTAAACGGAATAAATTATCAGCCACGTAACGGCGAATACACGTTAGAACGAAAGATAAAGAGTGCCTTATTGTTTATTTAACATTAACAGCCTCTGAAATCGAAGAAAACAAAAAAAAAAAAACATCACGCGAACATCGACTAACGAACATAAGGCAAATAAGGCTGCTGAAAGAAAAAAATGTTACTACACGATCTTATCGTAAACGAAATGCAGCATAATCTCTGGAAAGATGTAAGAAAGCAAGTTTCGAGGAGCTCGAAATAAATTTACAATAAAACCAGATATCGCGGAGGAGCGTTAAACTCTTTTCATTACCTTGTTACCGATAAATTAGAAATAAGAACGTGCATTATGTCACGAAAAGATTCAAATTCGAAGGAAAGATAAAAAAAAGGTAATCCTAGGAATATTTATATGGAAACTTCTCATTCGTCGTATTAAATTTATCTCCGCTGTTCAGCAAGAAGTTTTGGAGGCACAGGATTAAAAAAAAAAGACGCGCAGATGCAAAAAAGTCAAAAGTCTCGCGAAGATCGAAAGAAGGAAATTTACGATAAAATTTAAAATCGTAGAGGAACGTTAAATTCTTGTTACTAAGTGGTTACCGATAAATTGGAAAAAAGAACGAACAGGAGCGTGTACTTTGTTACAAAAGGATTCACGTAATCCTGGAAATATTTATAAGGAAAGTTTTCGCTCCTTACTGTTGATGTTAAATTTATCTCGACGTTGCGGAGGCGTGGAATTAAGAAAAAGGCGCGTAGAAAAAAGGGCAATAGTCTAGTGAAAATGTGAAGCAAAAGAAGAAAGGGAGAGAGAGAGATTGCTGTTAAAAGTCGCTCTCCTTGACTTTATCATCTTTGACATCGTTATCCTCGTTACGCACGCTTCTTACCATAATCACACAAAGACACGAGTGTGACAATAATTTACGTAACTTTTCGCGTTCTTCACCGCGACATAATTCAACGGAGTCGTTGCTCTTTAAAATTAATTGCCTTCTGAACGCCGGCCGATTGCTAACTACGGTAGCGAACGTAAAAAACACTTTCAAGTTAGATTACGATGATACGAGCCTTAACTCGCGGATAATAGCTGGTTAAAGTGGTATACATGAAATTGTACTAAGGTGACGATTATTTGGAGAATCATTTGTTTAAAATTATTTAGTAATATATCGATTGGAGAATTTGAAAAGAAGCTGTACAAACGAATAACCAAATTTTTAATATTTAGTTCTCACAGTGTGCGTTTTAATAATTATAATTATCATTTTACAGGCATATTTCTGTGAACATAATTTTAAATACGGTTTTCTTTTTAATACGAGCAAGTTTGTGATTTTTTAAATTCTCAATTTTTCATTTATGTGTCTCGAAATTGTTTATTTTATGGACGTTCAATGGTGAAGATAGTAATTATTTTGTAGACATATTTCTCTGAACATAATTTTAAATATGGTTTTTTTTAATACGAGCAAGTTTGTGATTTTTTAAATTCTCAATTTTTCATTTATGT